ATAAGAATCCTACTATTTAGTGTGCTGTATTAGGGTCCCTAATTTCGGAACCCCCCATATGGGTAGTTCTCTAAATGAGGGTCCCTTTGAGGGGTCCTTGTTTTTGAGGGTGCCGTACTATAGTGGGAACTGGAGACCTAAAAGGGGATCCTATAGATTAGAGAACTATCCATATACTTTCGCCCTCAAGTACCTAAATAGGGACTACTACTTTGAGGCCAAAGTATATCTACTTGGGTACATGGACCCTTAGGGGAAGCCTGCAGCTAGCAAAAGTCCTTGCCACCGACTTCAAGGCAGCAACAAAAAGCTGCGATTTAGGGTTTAGGGTTTAGGAAGCTCTGGGAGATATCTATCTGTATGTATATATATATATATATACGTATAAAGATGTATCTTGCCAAAACAGCTGACCGTTCAGACCCGAGGGTGCGCAACTTTGAAACCGAAGTTACGCGATTCAGGATTCTGGGGCTGAGGGTGCGGATATTTCGATGAAGCCCCAGCCTGCCCATAGCTACCAAAGCTGAGCTTGGCGTTTCGAAACCCACTGACAGGACTGAGAGTCCGAAGCGCAGATTTTAAGTTGCTACGTTTTGGGGAAGTAAACCTGTGTCAGGTATCCAACACCAATTTGATTTCGTGTACGAAACAGCGCAGCGGATTTTGTTCCGCCTTCATCCCGTCTCTGATGTACGTAGAACACAAAAATCTGTAGGTTTGCAAAGGAATGATGCAGGTGGTTTCTGTGCAGTCAGGACAGGTCGTTTATCTTCCGCGGTCATGCAGTTTTGGCTCAGGTGAAGTTGCAGTGGGTTACGTGAGTGGTTTTACGGCTTGCACGATTCGCGTGACTCCAAGCCCTAAGCCCTAAAGCCCCGTGTCCCTTCAAGCACTACGACTCAACCCGCTGGAAGTCGAAGAGCTCCGACAAACAACCCACCCTTCGCACCCGACATGCGAAGAAGTCTAGGGTGCAGCGTCTGGAGTTGTGAACCTACTACCAAAGACCTTCACAGCACCCCTTATTGAGGAACTGACTTGATTCCGAAAGAGGCCTTGCAATCTCCAGGTACTCCGGCAAGATTTGCAATCAATAGACAAGCCAAGAGGCAGCAACACAAACAATTCCCTACACCTGGATTGTGGCACCATGTCGGGGCAGATTCCAAGGCCTAAGAACGTCCGCACCCTAGTGTTTGCGGCAAGGGTTTCGCTGGGTCTTTAGGCCTTTTTGGCTTACATAACGGGCTCAGCGTTCTAGATCTGGGTTGCTGGGGCTTTACACGTAGCTTTAGGGCCACAGGAGTTCAACAATTGATGAGTTTAGTACGGGGTGCAGGAGATGTTGGGTTCAATTGAGGTTTAAGGTTCAGTGGTGCTCACAATCTAGCTGCTGTAGCCCTGGGCTCTAAAATATCATAACTAGACCTGCCCCTAAAGCATGAGCCTAACTAAAAGGTCAAAGCCTGGACACTTCATCGTGTGCAACACATTCGGCGAAGCGCGCGCGAACGCAGCAGAGGTCTGACTCATTAGCATCAGTGTTCCCTTATAGTCCATCTGACAACTATGCAACAAATTGCCTCCCAAGCACTGGCTCTACCCGAAGTCTTGAGGCCCCGACATTCGAAGTTTCAGTCTTCAGCAGCCCGGAGATGAGAATCTGAGAGCTCCTGATCCCCAGCCTCCACCTTAAGAACCCAAAACCCACTTTTTTGTAGGTTCTTATTATAAACCCCAATATGGGATTTATAGGGACCCTACAAAAAAGTAGGTTTTGGGTTCTTAAGGCACACCCTAATTGCGGTAGCGATTCTACATCCACAGACCTCGTCCTTGCCGACACTTCAACTTACCTTCGCCTCAGTTCCCCAAGCAGTGGGCTGCGGGCCCTGAACCCTAAACCCTAAACCCTAAACCCTAAACCCTAAACCCTAAACCCTAAACCCTAAACCTTAAACCCTAAACCTTAAACCCTAAACCCTAAACCCGCAAGGTTGAGACTACCAACACCGGCACCGTCTACCACGTCCAGGACGACGGGACCAAGGCTGGGGCAGCTCGGGGTGTGCTGAGCGGTGGTGGGCATGGCCTGTTTTTTTAATATAAGGGTTTAGGGTTTAGGGTTTAGGGTTACTGATGAACTTGGATGTACTACTGTGCGCAGCAAAAAAAGCAATTCCGTGTCGGAGCACCACGGTACCAGCTTGATTTATTGAGGCGGTGCAAACGAACGGGGTGGGAGGTTTTTGTCGGAGGTCTCGAGGATGCAATTCCGAAGACAACAAACCGTTTCGCAGATGATGCATGTACGGCTTTAGCTCAAGATCATGACGGGCGATTGTGTGCGGGACTCGTGTCCATGCTGGACTTGCTGCTTATTCGAGTTCTTGTGTGAGATGTAGTTCGCCTGCCGGTTCAGGTGTGACCGGGACGCAGACAGTTTGGCATCAGATGCACAGACACCGTACTACTTTGCAAGATCTTCCGTGCGAAACCTGAACTTCAAAATCTAGATCCCGGAACTCACAGGGTAGCGGCACCCTGCCGCGGAGAAGGGGCCAGGGCAGCGAAAGTCGAACTAGCCCGAATTCCCACAAGACTCTGCGTTGCAGGTGATCCCGGGATCCAGACGTCCCGACGGCACATTCAGAAAGCCGGTTCGAGTGCGTGCAGGCAGGAAAGACTGCAAGAAGGGCTGTAGCTCGGAATCATTTTCCCTAATCTTAACTAGGTAGGCCTTTGGGAAAGTTTTGCATTTTTCCCTTGTTGATCCTAAGAGGAGTCGTTTACGAAGATTATGCAAGGGCTTTACAGGGCCAACCTAAGTAATTCGGCCCCAGATCCCACTCCCTGGGCCCCCCAACCCTAAACCCTAAACCCTAACCCTGGGATTCTGCTCCGTGGCGCCAGGCTACACCCCTTTGGAGGAGAACCTCTACAAGGGGTCGGAGGCTGCATGGTTTAGGGTTTAGGGTTTAGCTTGTCTTGAGCACGTGGTAGCTGTTTTGAAGCTTGCAGGACTTCGATTTATTAGTGAGCCATGGCATCTTGAGCTAGGCCCCTGTGAGTGCTCAACCCCTCATCCTGCAGCACTTGGCAAGTACCCACAGCCCTAAACCCGACGCAGCCGAGACAAGGTTCCTTCCGACCTTTCAGTTGGTGGTTTAGGGTTTAGGGTTTAGGGTTTAGGGTTTATGTTTGTACATGCTTCTGCGATCAACATCCTGTTTAGGGTTTAGGGTTTAGGGTTTGAAAGTAACAAGACTGCTCAAGCAGACGGTTCCTCGCAAGCAAGCGAAGGCTTCGAGGAGATGGCAGGGCTAAGCACTGCAAGGCCTCTACTGATTTTCGCCTGAGCAGAACACACTGCACAATCCACTCTGATAAGAGTGCGATGCATGCATGTCAAGTCTTGTAACTTGCATGCCACCCCATCCCCAAACAATTTCCGGAACTAAATATGTTCGTGAATAGTACTTCCAGGATTGTCCAGCGGGAGCACACCCTTGGACTTCCGTTTTCTCGCTGATTGCATCTCTGGATCCTCCACTATTCTCCAACTGTGTCTCATTCTGTAGTATAACTCCAGTTCACGGTTTGTGCCGTCTTTGGTCAGTGCATTGGCCAACTGAGCTTCTGAATGCACCCACCTGATGCAGACTTGAGTCCTTGCCTGGGCCTCTTTAAGACCCAGTAGTTCGATATTGCTCTTCTTCTCCGCGCCTTTGATGACTAAGACTTCGGATTGAAGTTTGTCGAACACGTTCCTTGAATCGGTGATGAGGCCGCCCTGGACTTGGCGGACTGTTGCGTCTGGGTTCCGGACGTCGACATTGCCGTATAAAATCTCACTCCACTGGTAGCGGGCATAATGCAACTGGTCTTCTCCGTTGATGGCGGCTTGTACTTCAGCAGCCCCGGGGCTTCTGCACATACGGTCGATCTTCGTGCTGTGCCAACTGATCGGCGTCACGCTGCCCATGTCACCTCTGAACAACGCTTCAGGTCCTAACCCTATGAAGATGCCCTGGGTGCTGCCTCCATCTGGCCTGTTCCCATCGGAGGCGTCAACCCAGGCAAACAGAGCCAGGGACTCCTGTGGGTGGAAGGCATGAATCTTCATCTTATGCTCGCCTCTCGCCTTGGTATGATAAAGAAGGAGGTTTGCTCTAAGGATGGTACTCACGGTTCCCTTGCTCACCTCAGACAACAAAAGACCCACTTCAGCAGACACGTGCGGCGCCACCTGTTGTGCGTGCCAGCTAAGACCCCCAAGAAGGGTTCGAAGCTGGGATCTCTCACGGTCGGTGATGGGAGCCTCCTTTTCCTTCCGTCGCGACGAGCTCACACAGATCTCGTGGAGTCCTTCAAGGTAGTGAGGCTGAGACAACTCAAACCCATCTTCCACTCGTGTCACCTGAACGCCACACTGGACGAAGGAATCCGTCTCCCAATCGCTCCACTTGAAGCGTTGCTGTATGGCCTGAAGTATAGCTTGCCATTCTTGATCCTCGGCATCCCCACTGAACAGGAAATCATCTACATGTCCAGAAATCATACCCCGAAGTTGGCCCTCTTTCCTCCAGACCCAAGCGCAAGAATCAGACCACAGACGCTCCAATCCTAACCCTTCCAGGAACTCCGCCACAGTGCGGTACCACTCAAGGGGTGCATCCACTAAGCCGTAGCAGGCTCGTCTGAGCCTGGTGATGCTTCCGACTGGGATGCCCATGGCCTCGCAAATCTCGGGGCTCGGAGTGCAGTATAAGGTATCCTTATACTCTCTTCCCTGAAGAAATGCCCCTGACACATCTCCTTTCTGGATTCTCCAGCGTCGTGAGGCAGTGAGTTGCAACTGGAACTGTCGGGACTGCCTGGTCATTACTGGAGCTGCAGTCGAGCGGTGCTCGTAGGAAGGATCCTGGTAGCCAAGTAGCACTGCACGTGCCTTGGCCTTACGCTCCCCACTATCTTTAACCTTCCACGTAAGTATCCACCTCATGCCGATGGCTTGTTCTCGGGAGGGTTGTAGATGTTCAGGGAGACACTCGAAGGCCTTGGCCGCAACGAAGTTGCGGACCTCCACGTTTTTCGCTTCTCTAAACTGAGCCTTCTCTTCTGGAGACAATCTCTTTTCACTCACCTCGACCGCCCTTCTCTTCATAGAGCTAATGAAGTACCCAGACATGTCGCTTAGGAGCTGCGCCTTTCCTCGTTTGCTGTCTGGGGTATCAATCTCTACGGCTACTGCTGCGGCCTCGTCGTTCCAGTAGGCAAGATCCTGAGTGACCCATGCGCTCTCAGAGACTTCCTCCCACCATCGGCGCGCTTCCGGAAACCCGGCGGATCCTCGCTCGGAAGCCAAGAGCCCCGACTGAGACCTATCTACTCGCCGTGAACTGGTAGCAGGCTCTCGGTCTGCCTCCGCTTCGTCTTCCATAGCATCCGGGTCCCCAGCAGGTCCAGGGCGCTTACGGGTGAGTCGCACCCGTCGGGGTGGGACCTCCTGTTCCACATCCTGAGCTCGGTGCCATTCATCGGCCTCAGGTTTTTCACCTGAGATGTCCTGGTACTGATTGCCGCCGATCTCCTCCGCGACTTTAGTGAAGCTCCACGGTGCCTGCTTGTCCTCAGCTAATGTCTCTAAGAGTTCTTCGCGCGGGGATGCGCGTCGAAGCTGTTCTGGACAACACTTCATGAGACTGCGTCCACGGACCAGCCACACAGCACTGCCGGGCTTTAGGGTGCCATCTGGCTCTCGTGTGGTCTCTACGGCCAGGATCCGAGCGGGGCCGAGAAAACGGCCGCGTTTAGATCCCGGGCTCTTCCTGGACTGGCCGGATTCCTGTGTTCTCCAAAAGAACACCAACTCTCCGGGTTCGAAGTCAAGGCGTGGTTTGTGTCTGGAGTTCGCTGCCCTCGTGAGTCGCTGTTGCGCCTGCCAATCCGCATGTGCTTTCTCAGCTCCCTGACGCAGCCGGGTAGCTCGCTCAAACTCTCCCGATGCGTTCTCAATCAAGTGTTCCGGTGGAAGCGCATGCAGAGTATCCAAGATCCTACCGGTTTCATCGGGGCTCCTACCTAAGGCATGCTGAACCGGACTGAAACCACGCACCATATCCCTTTGGTTGAACGTGCGGACTGCCGTAGAAAGGGCTTCTTCAAGTGACAACTCCGGCTCACTTGTGCAAAGCTTCGCCATAACCTCCTTCAATCCCTTGATTGCGTTCTCACAAGCCCCAATTTTCCAATGAGCTTCACCCGGAATGATATCCAAGAAGATTCCGTGTTTATCACAGTACTCCTCAACCAAGTGACTTCTGAAGGCGCCAGCAGGGTCTAAACGCAAGGTCCTAGGGTGGCCAAAGATTTGACACCAACCTTCCTGAAAGTACTGCAGACATGCCATGGCCCCTGGAGCCTGTTTAGGGCCCTTGGTTAGTATTCGCGCGGTTCGGAAACGCGAGCCTTCATCGAGCACGAGGAGAAACTGGGCATGGTCCTTCGTGCTGGGGTGCTGAAAATGTCCTACATCCGCCGAAACTGTAGCCCATTTAGGTGGCAGTGGTTCCAGTGAGGCCACATGTCTGCTGGAAACCTTGGTACGCTCGGCACACACCGAGCACTTAAACCGCTCAGCTTCCTGCAACACCTCACTGGAGGCTCCTCTTCGCTTCAGAGCATCCACCATGTGTTTAGTGCTACAATGCCCCGTGGCCGAATGAAGCAAATACAACTGCTTACGAATCTTCTCTCTCTTCTCTCTCTCCTCTCGGGTCTTGGGGTTTTGGGGAATGACTTCATCCGCCGGATAGACTTCATGTTGAGTGGCACAGCATTCCTGGGCACGATTCCACCTAGGCAACCTGAAACCCTGCCTACTCAACAACCCTCGCTGTTCTTCAGTGAGGTGATTCACACCTCGACTCGTGTAGGCAGTGAGCGTGATTCTGTTGCCCGTCCATGGCTGTGGGCCATGCCATGCCTTTCCATTGAAGTAGCTCAGCTGATGTCGAATTTCCAAATTACGTCCTTCAACCTCACGACCATCCGGAAGCCTCTGGACCACCTTTTCCTCAAGCCTCACATCAGGATCCTCAACCCAAAGCTCCCCTTTGCTATAGCTTCCGAACCCACAAATCATGCTGAGCTCCTGGGCATGGTTGTGCACATCCCGGTGGATCGGAAGTTTCTGATTCCGATTGATGGTGAATGAAGACCAATGGTCATGTTCACGGGTCTTGCTCCTGAGAAAAGCGTTCAAGTACTTTACCGTCTCCGGAAACTGATGGCACACTACGGTCGTGCCATACTGTCCTCCATGACTGAAGGCACCGAACGTCTGGTACTCAGGGGCCTTTCCTATCACCATCTCTCGCTTACCTTTCATAGCATTAGAGGGAAAAGCTTGAAGGAATTCCTCGCAGTCGTTGTAGCCATACTTCTCTTGATTTCGCAGTTGCTTGGCCCATTCCTCTATTTGTTGTCTATCCCCGTCACTGAACAACCCTGCCTCACTCCCGCAAGACCTGTCATCCCCACCTGACCCTGAAGGACCCTGTACCAAATCCTCCCCAGGGCCCCGCTTGGTGGTAGGTTGGGTAGGGTCTTCGGGTTTGTCGGGTCCTACGTCGTGACTCGCAATCACATTTCGGCCTAGCAAACATGCCGCGCACGTACGCGGGTTGCCTGGCCATGCCAGATCCCCGCAAACACAAAACTCCCCTCGTCCAAAGGCCTCTGGGAGTCCTGTCTGTCCTGTGCACTCCATCTTCACCGCCTGGTAGCTCAGCTCCTGAGTCAGGAGCTGGACTACACGATGTGCGTACTCGGGGGTATAACTTCGGGCTTGCGTGGCTTCGTCGGTTTCAAAGCTAGCATGCTGATACCGAGGGTCACATCTACAGGGAAGGTTCATGTGTTGGGCCAACCTAGCATGGGTAGTGAGGATCTTCCATCCTTCCTTGCAGAGCCTCCCTTGACTACAACGACAGTTCACGCTACAACCCTTCGTAACGGCACTATGAAGTTGATGCCTCTGCTGAAACCTTTGTATCGCTGGGAGCCTCCAGGCTTGGCTTGCATCATTCCACTCCCAAACAACATGAGCACCCTGTTGTATCGCCGCTTCAGCAACGCATAACCCTCCTATGTACATCCGTTGTGCATGTTGCCGTTTTTCCTTCAGCGTCTGCTGCTGTGCTTCAGTTCTCTGGTTCATACCCTGTCGTTGCGAAAAGGCACTGCATGGTGTGCGGATCCAAACTACCTGAGGACGTTCCAGCTGCAACCTTTCTAAGCCCAACCGGACCCCAGCCGTAACCGCAAGGTCCACACCATTCCATTCCGCACACCTCACAGCCGCATCTTGGTGGCCTACTGCTTTGCAGGCAGCATCGGCAAGAAGACTCTGAGGTTCACAGCCGATCTCCATCAACACGGGGCGCCCTTGATTGACCAAATCCTGGAAAGTCTTTGGAACTAGGCTCCAGGCCGCATCTTCTAACCGAGAGGCACACCCCACGCTAAGCTGGCGACACTTATCCTTAGTCTTACTGGCGCCTACCGCGTGACTCATAGCTGTGTCCTCGGAGAAAACTGCGCTCACCGGTCCTGCTCCGCTGGTGAGCTCACCAACGAGAACTCGCTGCGACTCTCCTTCTTCCGAGGTCGCTCCTCCTTCATGTTCGCCACTTCTTCGCGCAGCGCCGCCACCGAGTGCACCAAGTCCTGGAGCACCTCCGTCTTGATCGAGACCTCGCTGGGCGCACTGGCAGCCGATGGTGCTGATCGCCCTTTGTACCCCCCTTTCTTCGGGGAGGCCTTTGCCTTGGACTTGCTCATGGGCTCCATTGAGAAACGAGGTTCTTCGGGAGGAGGTTCCTGTAGGCTTCCCATAGCGGCCTCCGCCCCTGTGGTGATTGGTTCCATCTTCTCTTGCTCCAGCCACATGGCGAAGCGCCGAAGGTGGATGCAACACTCCTTTTCCTCGCGACTCGTCTTGATCACCCAATCGCAGTACTGAGGATAGCTGCCCTTGAGCTCCACGTAGGTCATCTGGGCATGCCTTCCGAAGGATACTTGGTCGTCCGGGGAGCACGCCGTGTGCTCGTAGATGTAGTCCAGGGCCTTCCCCTGGAGCTGCTTGATCGTCTGGAGCGGGTTCACATCCATCATGAACTCCTCCTGGAGCAACTTGACAAGGTCCGCTTTCTTCCGGGATGCAGCATTGAGCTGGGCTATCTTGCTGCGAAGCGGTGTCTTCTGCTTCTTGAACGCCGTCTTCACGTCGATGCCGCGGGCCTTGTAACAACTCTCCATGCGGTGTTGAATCTCGGCTCGGGTCCAGTTGTCTGGGACGTGCTCGCCGATCTCGGTCAACATCCGCAACATCTCCTCCTTGGTCATGCGATCCATGGTCTCGTACCGAAGAGGGCTGAGACGAGAAGGAGGAGTCGTGCTTCGAGAGGTCAATCTTGCGAGATGTCTCGGTAATCACGTGTGCGTTGTTCAATCCTTGAAGTACAATTGATTCACTCATGCTACTCCTATCGTTCACTCTCTGTTCCGGAAATTGTTCAGAAACATGCTTCACCCCTGGCTTGCCTGACTCACCTAACTCCTTCCAATTCCTTTCAGGCGATGGAACCGGAAGGTCATGTCCCTACTCCGCCTTTGGCAGAAAGTCCCGAAGGCTGGGAATCTCCTGAGTGGCTTCTTCAGCATTTGCATACAAATCGTCCTTCAGGGATAGGGTCTGGTGCCCCGTCGCCGATCGGCCCACCTTGATAATCTTCTTCTTATTCAACCGACGGAAAACAACCAGATCATTGCTGAAATCCAAAACCGCCCCAAGATTCCGCAAGGTGGCCACGGAAAGCAAAATCGGCCCTTCGCCCTTGTTTAGGGCGTGGATGGTGATTTCCCCATCCTTCCCATCTGCCTTGAGGCCTACGTTCACGGTGCTCACACAGCGATCGGAGCTCGAGTTGCCGAAGCCGAACGTGGGCGTGTTTTCCACATCGACATTGTGGATCCGAGCATCCCCGTGGAGGGCCTCATTCTGTCTCATGAGGCACTCGATCGCATGAACTGAGGCCAGCGTCCGGGTAGCGCCGCCATCGATGATGGCATGTCCTTCACGTACTGCTTCGGACGTGGTCATTGCCTCGGTTCCCAAGTAGGCACTGGCCATCTCCTCCAGACTGGCGTAACCGACTGTTCCGTGATCCCCGAAACAGACGAACGGTGCCTGCTCATCCTGGGGCTCATCCACCTGCAAGGCCTTGTTCGGTCCATCCTTGCAGTTCGCTGCTCGATGCCCTATCTTGCCGCATTTCAAGCACGTCATGTTGGCATCGCTGTTGTGGCCGTGACCGTTGCCACCACGAGTGGAGGTGGTGCCTGAGGAGCTGCTCTGACTGCGAGGGCCATTGCGGTAGTACTGCCGTCCCAGCTTCACCTGGTGCTGTCGGAACCGGGCCTCCCTAAGGGTCCGCTTCCCCGCTGAGATTGCAGCCATAGCCTCTTGCGCTTCTTGTTCCGCTGCCTGTAGTGCCGCATGACCTTCCTCATCAAGCTCCGCCTTGGACATCCAGGCCTCGCTGGCGTCCTCCTCCTCGTGGCCATCACTGTCGCTCATCGCCTCCCCGAGGTAGCCCACGTGACGCCCTTGGTCACGATGCTTCACTTCATGATCGCTCCACTGGTTCCTCAGCTCCTGCGCTACTCGGTCTACGTCATAGCATCCTCCCAGGGCGGTCTGCACCATGTTCCTCTCCGTCTGACTGAGATTCGCATCTTGCAGTAAGTACCACCCTTGAACGAAGGATGGCAGCAGTTCCGCCTTGGGCCCTGCTGCTGCTTCAGGCCGAGGCTGCCACCAGTTGTAGCCGCCATACGGATAGGACCACCCACCCCACGTTCCCCCGTTGTAGTAGGTGTCGTAGTGTCCATATGACCATGACCATGATGTCCCTTGGCTCTGCCAGTCTCGCCAGGTGTCTTGTGTACTGGCCGCGTCCCCTTGATCCTCATCTGGCTCGTCGGGCTCGGCCGTGGGCTCAGTGGAGCTGTCCACACTGCTGCGTCGGCTCGGGTACCAGTTCCACGCATCCTGGCGACCACCGGTCTCCTCGGTCGGGGTGTTCACCTTGTGTGTTCCGGGCTTCTTCTTCTGACTTGCAATCACACGCTGCAAGGCTTGCTCTGCTCGGAGGTAGGCCTCTGCCTTCCTTGTAATGTACTCGTTCATCGATTCTTGTGCTTTGCGACGACAATGTTTGAAGTACTTGGAGAGATGCTCCGTCATCTCCGGAATCTGGGGTTTCCCTAAACATTGACGAAGAAACTCCAAAAGTGTTCGCACACCGTCGTAGTTCGACACCCAGGTGGGCGTCCTCCCCGACACCATCCTCTTAGCTGCCCCACTCAGCTCCGAGATCAGTCGAGGACCACACAAAGCACGCTTGTGCACCTCCGTTCCTGCTTCGTATAAGTAGCAAGCTTCTTCATATGCAGTAAACGTGTTAGCACTGCCGTCCCACTTGGGGACTCCCTCCTTGGTTCGTTCCACTTCACTAGCAGCCATGTCACTCTGCTTCCCCGACGGCCTAGCGGTCGGGGCCTATCGAAAACAAACGGTCCCTGGATCACCAAGCGTGCCTCGCCCTTCTGACAAGGCTCCGCGCTACCATGAAAGTAACAAGACTGCTCAAGCAGACGGTTCCTCGCAAGCAAGCGAAGGCTTCGAGGAGATGGCAGGGCTAAGCACTGCAAGGCCTCTACTGATTTTCGCCTGAGCAGAACACACTGCACAATCCACTCTGATAAGAGTGCGATGCATGCATGTCAAGTCTTGTAACTTGCAGGGTTTATGTTTGTACATGCTTCTGCGATCAACATCCTGCTATGCTGCGCCAGTATTGTTTTTTTGTGGCTGGGATGCTTTCGCGGGAGTTTGGAGGCCTCACACCGTGGGGGATCTACGGTTGCGGGCTGTACAACTACGGGGCTTACGATCATCTTCCCGAGCTTGTTTTCCATAAACCCTTCAACCCCTAATATAGGGGCCATAATAATTTCAATAGGGTTTTGGGGTATACTTTACTAGAACAAAAGTAAGGAGCCCCCAAAATAATATAGGCAATTATTTAGGCCTCTATATATATATATATATTACACCCTAAACCGGTTTGGTGTATCAGTGATTCTCTGGCCATAGGCTTTAGGTCTTGATTTCTGCTCCATTCCGGGAGTTTCGCGAAAAGGAGTTCAACGTATTGTAGGGGCCTTAATAATTACAATAGGGTTTTAAGGGGTTCCTTATATTGTAGGGACCTTAATAACTAGAATACGGTTTTAAGGGGTTCCTTATTATAAATAGTAATAGTAAAATATAGTATAAGTATAATATACCCCCAAGCCCTATTCAAATTATTAGGGCCCCTATATTATGAGCTTGACAACCCAAACCCTCACATGGGTGGTTCTCTAGCAACAGGGTTTTCGGGTTTAGAGGTTCAGGGATTTAGGGCTTAGGGATGTGGGTAGCTCGCCAAGTTGGGGTCCTTTTTGGGGGGCCGTTTGGAAGGGTGCCCTCTTTTGGGGGATTTAAGCCGGACCCTAGTTTAGAGAACTACCCATATCCTACACCCAATCCCCCTAAACTCTAAACCCTAAACCAGAAGCCGCCTCTGACAACATCAGAACTCGTGAGTCCGTGTTTCGAGTGCCTGCTGAACTCCAAAACTCTCAACCCTGAATCCCAAATCCAAAGCTCTAAATCCTAAACCCTAAACCTAACTTCTAAACCCCTAAAGCCCTGAACCGTCAAACTAATCTCAGGAAAAAGACGAGAACCCTTAGAGGAGCCATTCTAGAACCCTGCTAGAACCCTAAACCCTAAACCCTATAGAACCCTAAGCCCTAAACCCAATAGAACCCTAAACCCTTTTGAACCCTACTAAACCCTAAGCCGTCTAGAACCCTTAAAGGAGCCCTTCTCGAACCCTGCTAGAACCCTTAAGGGAAACCCTTACAGGAGCCCTGGTCTTTCAAGCCACCGGGGCCTGGCCAGGTGGAAAGCTGAAAATCCCTAAGCCCCTACACCCCTAAACCACCCCTAAACCACCCCTAAACCACCCCTAAACCCTGAACCCTAAGCCCCTAAACAACTAAACCCTGAACCCTAACCCTAAACCCTAAAACAACCCTAAACCCTAAACCCTAAGCCACTAACCCCAAACCCTAAACCATAAAGCCCAAACCCTAAACCCTAAAAGCCTAAACCCTAAACCCTAAACCCTAAAAAACCCTAAACTCTAAACCCCAACCCCTAAACAAAAAAAAACATCGTCTGAAGGCCCAGCAGCGAGCGCAAGCCCGGTCCGGCGGCTGAAGATCCCAGGGGTTTCCTTCCGAAGGGCTCCCTTAGGGGCTCTTTAGGGTTTAGGGTTTCCTTCCGAAGGGGTTCCCTGAAGGGCTCTACGCGGTTTAGGGTTTCCTTCGAAAGGGTTCCCTTAAGGGTTCTACGCGGTTTAGGGTTTCCTTCGTAAGGGTTCCCTCAGGGGCTCTAGACGGTTTAGGGTTTAGGGTTCTATAAGGGTTCCCTTAAGCGTTCTACGCTGTTTAGGGTTTAGGGTTTAGGGTTTAGGGTTCTATAAGGGTTCCCTTAAGGGTTCTACGCGGTTTAGGGTTTAGGGTTCTATAAGGGTTCCCTTAAGGGTTCTAGACGGTTTAGGGTTTCCTTCCTAAGGGTTCCCTGAAGGGTTCTACACGGTTTAGGGTTTGGGGTTCTAGAAGGGTTCCCTTAGGGCTCTACACGGTTTAGGGTTCCCTGAAGGGTTCCTTTAAGTTCTACACGGTCTAGGGTTAAGGGTTCCCTTAAGGGTTCTAGATGGTTTAGGGTTTAGTAGGGTTCAAAAGGGTTTAGGGTTCTGTAAGGGTTCCCGTAAGGGTTCTACAGGGTTTAGGGTTTAGGGTTCTTCACGGTTTAGGGTCTAGGGCTCTAGGGTTCTATAAGGGCTCCGCAATGGTCTGCTGTAAGGGTTCTGTAAGGGCTGCTTTAAGGGTTCTGTGAGGCTTCTTGCTAGGGAGTTTAGTTTAAATGGCCATAACCCTAAACCCTAAGCCCTAAACCCTAAACCCTAAACCCTAAACCCTAAGCCCTAAACCCTAAACCCTAAACCATCGATACTGAGGCCTGGCTGTTCACCAAGACGATTATGGGATCCCTTGTTGTAATTGTAGTCATAACATACTCCAAGACGCAATTTTATTTATTGTGGCCCCTATATTCGGGATTGAGGGATGGGGGTGTCAGGGCGGAGGGGTTAGTTTCCGGCTTTTTTGGGGTCTAAGCTTTAGGGTTTAAGGTATGTCGCATCTTTGGGGCTTTGCATCCCAGCACCCCACAT